TACTTATATCTCCAACACACAAGACAACAACCCTACTTACAACAATCAGAACAACAATCCAGAAAAACTAAAGAAACTCAACAAAATACTAACACTCATTCCAAATCTAATCAACATAATATCAATACTTCTATCAACCCATCTACAAAAATTAACCCATCTTTTGACTGGCTGCTAACTTCTCAGTCTCAAAGAAATGGAAAAATATACACAACTACAAACAAAAATTGTTAGAAAAATTTTTAATCATCTCAAAAAGCACTTATTTGACTTCTATCCAAGCAAAAAAATCTGTGCTACAACTTCTACTCGAAAAGTCCTTAAAGCTAGCTTCCACTATATTATCTTAAAATGGCTGGAGAAAGACCACAATTTCTTACAGAATTTATCCAACAACAAAATTCTAATACTAACAAAGCTCTAACAATTCTATTCAATATTATTAAAGAAACCTTTAAAAAACTCACTCTTATTTTCACGACTATTCTTTTCACCAAATTGAACTATCCAAAATCTTTACTTCCTCAGCAACAATACCTCCTTATAAAAACCAAAATAGATTACAATTTTGTATCAATTTAGCTCGCCTTCATTTATATTTATCAGATAATTATCAAGCAATTAACTATATCAAATTCACTGAAGATTTTAAACTTAGACCAAAAAGATTTAAGATATCCTCTGCTGTAACCTGCTATAACAAAGAGGAAAAATATCTTCAAATCAAATCTGATACCAAATTCAAAATTTATCTTGAGTTCCTTAAAGAACTCACTTGAACACTTTGACAACTGGTTTGAACACTTTTTCTCACAATATAGCTGTCAGTTCAAACAGCCTATAGATAAAACAAAAGTTTACAACTTTTTATGATATCAATTCTACAGAGTTTTATCCAACACCTTAAAGAACTCCTACCTATTGATTTAGACTTTACTAAACCTAACAACTCTATCCAATATCATAACAAAACTATTAAACATGCAAATCATCATATCCTTACATGTAAAGATACTTCCTGCCCTTTTGCTATAACAGTTAACAATAAAGATAAAGCAAAGAAACTGACAATCACAACCAAAGTGCTTCAAAACTCCAACATAGACATGATTATAATCAACTATTCAAGGACTCCTTGAGAGATCCTACATAATGTCATGATATATTTCGGTATCCTGGAAATTCGTCGTGCAAGGGTCCAATTAGGATTGGGACTTGCATATGTGGTGTGATTCAGATTTGTATAAATTGCATGATTGTTGAATTAGTGAATCTATAAAATTAGATAATAGTCTAATGCAAGTAACCTGGATAAATATATATCCGGAGATAATCTTGTAATATATAGAGTATACAATTTTAGTAATAAAAGATAAGTAGATTTTGCTTTAATAAAAATGTTCTAAGAAAAATACTGTGTGGTCATCATGTCGAATATTGGTGGAGGTGTCTGGAACATTACCACCAGGCTGTGTAGAAAGCCAAGCGAGTTGAATTAGAAGGTTGAAGTAATGAAGACTCATATAATCGCCTATCTATATGATAATAACCAATCTCAAACAAGACAACAAAGATCTCACAATTGACTCATTCATTTTTTATACAGATGGTAAACATGAAGCAACCTTTACCAAAGAAATATCAACCAACTACTTGATGAGCTAGTAAGCTCAGCTGAAGAAGCTGCTCATTCACCAAACACATCCAAAACAGTTAACTTTTTTTTTTTTTTTTTTTTTTTTTTTTTTTTTTTTTTCCACTTAGGCCATCTTGCCTTTAGTCTCCTTTATTACTTTACGATTGTATAGTATTACAAAAGGCCTTAGCATAATATTTAGGAGTGGCATCCCGCAGTTACTTCGTAAGCACTTACAAGTGATCGGCCGCACTGAGCAGATACATCCCTATGAATATATCACGATAAGTTTCAAAATAGAAACACTATCTCTCTCAGACGAACACTATCAGACCATCATCCTACAATAGGATATCGCCAATCTGATGACATCTTCTCGTAGGGAAGTGGAAAGAAAAAAAAATTTTTTTACTAACACTAACACTAATACTAAAGGTGAGATACTAAAAAAAAATAGAAACTAAAACTAAAAAACAAATACAAAGACGAAAGGAGGAAGAAAAAGAAAAGAAAATCTGATAGGTCACAGTTATAGGCCTGTGTCGGGCCTTGAAAATTACATATTAATAGGTAAAGAAGCTCTGTATCTAACTCTATCCTAATTATATATGTATATAAAAAAAAAAACATAAAAAAAAAAGACAGCTAAATAAAACAGAGTAGCCCGAAATATGAAGTCTCGAAGTATTGTCCAACGGTTTTTTGGTCAAGACACATATACCATTTGTGTTGTCATACAGTCTGTACATGGTTGCTTAATCTGAACGTCGGCCCGATATCCCGTTATGGAAGTTCCATCCATTTTTAGACAGGTAAAAAATACTGACTTGTTTTGGAAAATTACGTGTCGATCTTTTGAAGAGGGTAAGCTAAAACACCCACTTTTTGACAAAATTTTCTCGAAAAAAGTGGTGGGCCAACAAAACTTTTCTGTGGTTGTTCCTTGTAAGTTTTACGGTTGCATAGATATACCTTAAGCTTGTAATACTCCTAGTGTCGTCCTAGACGTTCTGTGTTTCCAAAATATCCTTCTGGTTTAGATGCCGAATAGGCAGAGGAGTCCGCCAGAAGAAAAGCTTGACCTCTACCAAAACCAGTCTAAAGTAGACCACTCCCCGGTTTTACACTCTTGGTACTTCGTCGACAACACACCTACTTCTGTAGGACCAAGTTTATTATTTACTTAAGTGTCTTCTATAGCGCTGACCATAGTTCAGTTTCTTGTTTTTTGTTGACCAGATGACCATCAGAAAGAGTTTTATTATTGAAAATTTTGTAATGAAAAAAAAAAATTTTTTTTTTAATATAAAATTTTAGATTAAATTATAAATTAAATTAGTTTTTTTAGATTAAATTATATTGTTACACAGGCTTATAAGCCACAACAAGCCACAGCAAGCCTGGGGGATGTGACAAATAAGCTGTATAAGCTGGCTCATTTAGAAACACTAAATTCTTCTTTAAATAAAAGCCTTTCTTTGTATTGGAACTTGTAATAATCAAAGTGGTTAGTTGTGTCATCATCTGTAGGGCTTATTAAATAATTGATGATATTTTGAGCTAAAGGATCTATTACAATCCATTCTTGAATGCGATCTCTTAAAGATGTATCAATCAGAATCACAAGCATGGCACATAAATGAAAATTTTTAGCTTTCAATAGTGTAGTGTGTTGTTGAGTTACCATTTTATCACAATATAAAGGCTGGTAATCTACTCTTCGTGATAGAATATTAGACTTTTCTTGTTTCTTTTCTAACTGAAATACAATTTTAAAATTATAGTTAGAAAGGAAGAGAGACCACCGGGCTTGTTGATGGCTAAAGTTTTTGGCAATAGCAAAATACTTTAAATTTTTATGGTTGCAATATATAGTAATTTCGTGCTGGGCTCTTTCCAGATAATGTCACTAACATTTAAGTGCTATTATTATAACTAATAATTCTTTATCATAAACATTGTAGTTAATTTCTGCCAGTGTAAGTTTTTGGGAGTGGTAGGCAATAGGGTGAAGGATTCCTCCAACTTGGTACTGGGATAATATTGCACTGAGAGTATAGTCTGAAGCATCTGTCTCCAGATAATAAGGTTTTATTGAGTTAGCCTGAACTAGAATTGGGGCAGAAGTAAAAGCCTTTTTTAGAAAATCGAATGCTTGTTGAGCTGAGGAAAGCCAATAAAATTTTGTTAGCTTTTCCCTAATTTCCAAATTAAATTGGTCAAAGGGGTCACTAGTTGGGCATAACCCTTAATAAAATGCTGACAATAGTTGGCAAAACCCAGAAAATGTTATACTTCTCAAATTGATGTTGAAACAGGCCAAGTGAAGAGGCTTTCGACCTTGTTTGAGTTCATCAAGATTTCTTGGTGAGTGATATAGTAGCCTAAAAAGTCAATGTTTTCTTGATCAAACTTACATTTTTTTAGCTTTGCAAATAATCCATGCTTATGCAAGCATTCTAATACCAGTTGTACATATTGGTCATGCTCTTCTGAACTAGATGAATATATTAGAACATCATCAAGATAAATTATAACAAATATATCTAGAAAATTCTGAAAGATATTGTTCATAAAGTGCTGGAATACCGCTGGGGCATTAGTGAGTAGTGTTCCTCACAGGTTAAATTAGGCGAGTATTAGTAGAAAACTGAACTGAAACCGAAAAATCAGTTCGAGTCTAGAACTAACCTGAATCCAACTATAACTAACCCGAACCAATCCAGAACCAATAAATTCAATTTGAAAAAAGCAAGAAATATAACTTTATTTAAAATTTATATAACATCTGCATACTACAAATTTATTTATTTAACTACTTATTTTCTTTATTATGACTTTGTATATTTAGCTATTTAATTCTCTCCACCAAGACTTTAAATATATTGCAATTCATACTGTTTTATCAGACAATCGATTTCGCTTACTAGTTATTATATCACTACTAATACTTAAAATTTGCTCACTTGAAATACTGGTAGCTAGAATGGGAAGGCAATATTGAGCAAATTTTGCAAGGTTTGGATAGGTTGGTTCATTTATTCTCCACCATTCTAAGATATTTGTATCGGCATTTACACATGATACAAACAAATATGTTTTAAGCTCATTTTGTTGTTCAACACAAGAGCACTTATAGATTCATGATAATATATTTGTTTTAGATAACTCTTCAGATAAGGAAGCTATATTTTGATTATAAACTGATACATATTCGGTTTCATACTTATCAATAATTCTAAAAAAAAAAATTTTTTTATTAATTTTATAATTTAATAAATTTAATAATATAATTCAAATTACAACATACTTATCTTTGATTTAAGTAATAAGTCGTAATGACCAACCAAGTGTTTGAAAATATTCAAGCTTAAGTCACAGATCTAATATTATCGCTACAAGAATTAATATATTTGTTTTTTTACAATACTCCAAAAGTTTTATCATAGCATCAACAAGCCATTGTGGTATATTTTTATTCTTTATAGCCTCTTTGAGTGTTTTAATTAATGTATAGTAAAAGGTAATTACCATTGACAAAGTCAGATATTCTTGTTTTGACATTTCAACCGTTACTAAATTAAGTATAAAAAATTAAAATAAATTTTTATTTTTTTTTTTATTGTAAGTAAAAAAATACTAACCATTTTTAAATGATAATAAATTGAAGTAAGAAGCTCAATTTTCTTCTAATCCTCCTCAGAAAGTGCATACTAGTGTAAGTCTGATTCAGTATAAGAAAGAGTATTCAAAACAATTCGTAACATTATTGCATATTTACACATATTATAGGTGCTATTCCATTTAATAGAGACATTAAGAATTGGTTTTAGCTTTCTTATATTATATACTTGACACATCATTTTTACTTTTTTGTAAAGTATTTTTGATTCTCTAATGCATTTAATTAGCTCACGCAACTATATATAAATATAAATATTATAAATAAATAAAATTTAGTAAATATATAAATAAATAAAAATTAAGCAAATATATAAATAAAAAATTAATAACCTTAATTATTTCATCTTCTAGATTCTTAAACATGTATTATATTACAAGATTCAATATATAGCTGAAACATCTTATTGATTATTGTGTGTCATCAAACCAAATACTACTTTGTGAAACAAAATCTGAAAATTTTTGTAAAAATTTATCATTTGCAGATGTATTATCATATGTAATAGCAATTACTTTTGAAATAATTCCTAATGATTGAAGATATTCTTCCATATAATTAGTTATTTCTACACCCATGTGTCGTCTATCTATATATATGAAATCAAACAAAAGATGTTTCATTAACTATGATTTATTTAGATAATAAACAGTAACAGACATAAATGATTTATCATTAATATCTGTAGTTCAAATATCAGTTGTTAATGACACATGACCCGGAACTTCTTGCAATTTGTTTCGAAATTTAATATGCTCTTCCTCAAAATTACTTGTAATATGCCTTTTAATTAAATCTGATAATGGCGCTTTAAAAATAAATAAATAAAAATAACTGTATTATATTTAATTTAAAAAATATTTAAATCAAAAAGACTCTTTCTGACGATCACCCAAAATTACAAAAATTAACAAAATATAGAAGAAAGATATTCAAAAAAGACCTAAATAAAGCTAGAACATAGACAAAATTAACACAAAACGCAAGAGAACAACTGACACAACAACTAACATAACAATAAAACAACAACAGTATAAAAAACACAACAAGAAAACTAAAAATTTCAACAACCAGTCCTCAATGGACTTGGTAGAAGAAAACAGCTTGCAAAAGCAAAATAACACATATATACCAATGTATACACCTAAGTTACCAATAGACAACAGTATGGATAACCAAGAAACACAGAATACAAACAACAACCAACAAACTTCTGCCCAAAGTAAAAGACACCACTACAACAATATACCCATCTCTACAACTTACAAAAAATCGACAAAAAGTGGGCAAAACAGCTTACCCCTGCCAAAAC